TATTAGTTAGTCGATAAGACAATATCAATGTTCTATTTTCAATTCTTTATATTCTACATTTTAGCAAGGAAGTCTATTTACTGTGGCACGGCATTAATTGCCTAACAATGATTTAGTTATGCTATACTTACCGCTATGCGACAGTTGACTCGGGTGCGGTAGAAGAAATGCGGAAGCATGGTCAGTAAATAGTCTTATTTATTTTTATACAATTTATTTACAGATATAAATTTTTGTTCATATCATTGGCCAGGTTGGCAAGACTAAAAGACCGTCTGTAGAACGTGGATTGCTCATCTCTAGACAAACACCTAATTCTGCGACTTTGTCGCCTGTGTAAACAGACAGAAAACTTTAATTTTTCACTCAGAAAGCAATTGTTTTCCCATAAATCTAATTTCACATTTTCCTCTTCAAGTGTCAAATTTACCACATTATCTCGTCAAGGTCATTTGTCAATACCTCTTTAAAGACAGGTCAAGTTTAATTAGCACAAATTGAGTATAAGTGACTTTAAGTAGACAATTACATACTAGTTAAAAATCGATAATTAACTTGCACATTAAAACCAAATAATTAAACGCCATACGAAGAAGTTACTTGGCGTTAATTGTAAAACTAATTAAGAAATTCTAGATTAAATTCAGGTTATAGAAAAATCTGATGCACTAATATACGAGAAATTTATATTAATTTCAACAAAAATTTTTTTCCAAGTTCTTTAAAATTGCCCAGTTTAGACATTGTACATTCAAGAAAAATATTCATGTCCAAATTCATTTTACATTTAATTCATTTTGTGATACCACTAAAAATGTATTTACATGGAAATAAACTTTTCTTTAAAAATACTTTGCTTTTAACAAGTGATAAATACATTAAATTTAAATGTTTAAACAAGTAAATTTTCACGTTTTTCAAGTGGATTGCAGTATCTGTTGCGTTGCAAGCATTCACTGACCATCGAGTGGAAATAAACTTCGTCTTTTAGTTAGAATTGATTAATTCATAGCCATATTGTTTTGAATTCTCATGTTTGTTTGATTGAAATAAATTTAAGTGTTTGTGATTAAAAAATCTTCCATCACCTAAAAGTTGACCTTAAGGGAAGAAAAACAATGCTATTTATATTCGCCGTTTTATCCTAATGAATCAGATTTAGATTAAAGTGAAATTATTGCCTGCGGTGAATTTAATCAAATCAATGCCAAAAGGAGCACAAATCAAATAGAATTAACGCAAGTGCTATTAGAAAATGCCATTAAAGGAATTTAATTACTCCATAAAATCGTCCTGAAAAAGCGTTCACTTCTGCCCACGCTTTTGCACTGAATTAATGCCACGTCAGTCATTCCATTTCTACCAACTCGAAACATTGGACACTTTTATATTCAGATGTACAATCTAACCTTATTTGAAGTGCTTAAAATTGTACTGACAAGGTTTGAACAGGTAGCCTTTCAGACTCCAGTTCGAATTGCCAGTGAATACAAAAAATTTACAAAGAAGATAATACCCAATAATTAAATTGAATTAATGTTTACCGTCTGAAAAAATGATACATAAGTTGAAAAAAGGATGAACTTCAAAATGAGTGTGTGGCTTGATTATTTTAAAAAGTTTGATCTTTCTAAAATGGCAAATCCACGTTTTGGATTAGGGGAAATCTTGAATCTGTATGGACTACAGTTACAATTTAGAAGATTTCGTTTAAACTAATACTTTTAATGTGTTTATTAAGCTAATTGTAGTTGCTTTACCTTCGGTGGTCTCTAGTGCAGGTTTTCCATTAGCCTGATAGATTTTTGTACCAATCATCAGTGAAGAATTGACTAGGGATTTAAATTAAATTTTTTTATTGAAGTCTGTGCTTCCTGTTTAGACGCCAGTCGTAAGTGCTTAGGCAGCGTACTTTATTAACGCTATATTATATCATAAAATGGGGGGTGTGCGATGGACTTACCTCCACGTGGTGCACCCTGGGCAACGTATACTCATACTCTATGCCATATTCGACTATTTCCACAGTACTCATCTCACCTTTTTCCTACCTTTTCTAACTTCGTCTTTGAAACTCTTTTGTTCCTCCCCCCCCCCTCTCGACTTTTTTCACTTTGATGTTCCTTCCCCTCTATGAAGCCTGAAGTCAACTAAAGGGCTAATAATAACTGTCAAAACGCCTGCCATTAGATATAAATAAATAAATGATAAATATTATGTATGTAGGCAATAGATTTCAGTGCTTTTCCTGCTTGAACACCTGCAAGGTTAGGCAAAGGCATTACTGAAATTTATGGGCAAGTGCTCTCACGGTTCGTTGATGTCAATTTAGGCACAAGAGTTAAATCGGTTACTAGGGGGTCTTAAGTGATGCCTCAAAGTCAGAATGACCTACAAATATTGACAATGACTATGGATGAACTATTCCAGAGACACGCAAGAGCAATATGAAGGAGAAGTGCGTACGAATGCGTAAGAAAGGAGTCAAAAAATATAAATAAGCGCTATGTTAAATGGGTCATGCATCATGTGCAGGAGTTGAAACGGTTAGCAAGAGTTTGATGATGATCGATGCGCGTACACAACCAGCGGAGTGGCATAGAGGATTAAGAAAGAGTGACAGAATTGGAGTTCCACGATGATACTACCATTTTGCTTATGATGAATGTTTGAAGACGCCCTCCTTAACGAGATGGGAAATTAAGCGCCTCTTTTAAGCTCCAAAACTTTGACAGAAATACTAGCCGCCCACTTCCATTCGAATGACATTTTTTATAAAAAAAATCGATGGAGGGTTAGAGAGATATATATATAGTCATAGCACGTCACAAACTCTACCAAATTAGGTCAAGGGGAAGCAAACCAGAGTGACCATGTGGAATGACGTAGGGCATAAGCTTAGGTAATAGAAACAATCAACAGGCCTTATTCCACACTTATCACCTGTGGCTTTAAGGCTATTCTGGGCAATTTAAAACGAAGCACAGTTATGCCGGGATTTATCAGATAATAAAACTAGGACAATGCATGCATTAATTAATGTGTGAGGGTTACTAAAGCGAGGAAACATTATCTGAATTCCCTTAGCATTTCCTACGCCGTTACTACAAAAGAAACTTACAAATCTCTACCGACGAAAGCGTCTTGCAGTTGCCTGCAATTAAGAGCACAAGTTAGGACAGAAAATGCGTGTCCACTAAAATGCGTGTAGGGTCAAATTGAGTCGTGTCGCGCACACTTACCTCTGAGTCAATGTCCGAGCCACCAGACTCATCGCTTCTTTCATGATTTTGGACCTGAGGAGCGGGTTTATACATAATCTCATTATGGAGGGAGTGATTATAGGGAGGTGAGATCGGACCGGCCCTCCCACCAGGGTAACGATGGTGGGTAGGTGAGACCGCAGGGCTAGCAGAGTGCAGATTAGTGTCAGTTTCAGACGAATGGGAATTGCGAAATACTTCGTTGTCCTCCTGTTGTGTCTGAGGCTGAACAATCCGATCGGCACCAATGAATATATTCGTTGCATTCTGAGTAGGAGCGCTTGAAACAGGTACCGAAACACTGGGTGCGTTTGTTGAGAGCACGTTTCTGTCTGACAGTGGAATGGGACTAGATGATTTTTGAGATTGAAGCTGT